CCAAGCCCCCACTCCCCTACCAGTGCTCCCACTGATCCTCCAACCAGCTGTCATTGTCTGGGCTCGAATCCATCTTCAGGAAGAGCTGCATGGAGAGCCCTGCCCGGCCAGGGGGCTTCGGGGCCCCAGGACCGCCCTCTCATGCCCAGAAGGGTTGGGGGGCCAGGGCTCAGGGCAGGGCTGGGGCCACAGGCCTGGGCCTGCCTTTCCGCATGCTGCCCGCTGCAGAAGCCTGGAGAGCTCATTAAAAATACATGGGCCGGGAGAGGAGGCAGCGGCTGCTGCCGACCCAGGCCCCAGCCCAGCTCTTCCTGGCCCAGCCCTCAGCTGCAGGCAGCTTCCTCCCCCTGTGAGGCCGATGCCCGCTGTCGCTGCCGCCTCCCCGGAGGGATCAGGTTACTGCAATCAATGCTACCAGCTCCACCTGCCCTTCCAATGCCCCTGTCGGGGGCTGGAGTGGCCCCCCTCCCTGGCCCAGGCTTGTAAGCAGATCGCAGAAATCTGGGCGGTTTACCCCCAAAAGCCAGCTCCTGATCTGCTTTAAAGGGCCAGCGCCACACTCAGGGTGCCTGATGACCAGATGGGGGTGGGGGCGGGGTCCTCTGGAAATCTCCATGAATGGATGGCCCACAGCTACATGCTCAGCCCCACACCTCATCAGGGGGGCTTCTGTAAGCCCAGGCAGTATACAGACAGGGCTGACTGGGGCAGCTCTATTGCCCACTGAGTGCAGCAGAGAACCCTGCCCCCTGACTAAGGCCCTGTCCTTCAGCTCCCAGGAGGTGTCTCTGGGCACACAGCCAGGGAAAGGGCAGACCCTGTGTGGGCCCTTCGTCACTGGGCTGGAAGGGTGGCCTGGGAGGTGATGAGCCTCTGTCACTTTGAAGTGACATAAGCAGAAGCTGGAAGGCCACCGGAGGGAATGGCAGAGAGGAATTCGGACCAGGGCAAGGGGGCCAGATAGACAACTGCTCCTTCAGGCCTTCTCTATTGGAAGCCCCAGGGTAGGTGTGCAAGTGGGGGATGTGAGGACAGCGCAGCCTACAAGCCAGAGCAGCTCTGTTCAGCTAGGCCAGCACAGGGTGGCGTCTCTGGCCCTGAAACCCGGGTGGCTGGCACTAAGTAAACGATTAATACACATGGGCTGCCTGGACAGTCACAGGGAACGCACCCCTGGGACTCAGCCAGCGTTAGGGAACCCTGAGATGCCCTCAGATTCTCCCCGCTCTGCTGGTGACCCCTGCACACATCTACTTCCCTCCCTCACTGCCCAGCCCTGGTCCAGCTCCTGCCCCTGCAGACCTCCCCACTGGCCTGCCTGCATCAGTCTCGCCAAGCCTGCACCACCCCACCCCACCTTCCACTCTCTGGCCAAGCTGTCCGAAACACCACCCCTCTGCCCTCCACCCAGGGGTCCCTGCTGGCAGCTGCCTCCTTGGCCTGGCATCCTAGGTCTCCAGCTCCTCTGTGTCTCCTGCAGCTGCCTCCCCAGGGTCTAACGTAGAGCCTGTGTGGAGCACATGGCAGGCTCTCACCTGCACTTGCTGGAAGAAGACTCAGTTAAGCCGCTCCTCGGAAAACCCCCTGCTTCCCCCCTCCTCGTGCTAGTGCCTTACAGCCCTCCGGGCCACACTCACTGGTCCGTCCTCCTCCTGCTTGTGGTAGGTGTCTGCCATCTGTGTGGGCGCAAGACAGTGTGGTGGAGTAGACAGGACACCCCCTCAGACACTCCCAGTTTGCTCCAAAGGTGGGTGGAGCTCACATCCCCCACTCGGTGCCCAGCAGGTGATGACTGCAGGTCCCCTCCCTCCCAGCTGCATCTGGACTGCATGCCCCTGAGGGCAGAGCGGCAGGTCCTCTTGCAAACACTGGTACTGCTAGATGCTTGTCAATGACTTCCTTAGCTGGCTCCCCAGCTCATCTCCACACCCTCAGACCACTGATATTCCGACTTCTGGGGATGGCAGGGCTGGGGCCAGGCAGGGACAGCTGTTTCATCCTTCACAGAGGAGGAAGCAGAGGTCACCTGGGGACCAAGAGAACCTGCACTTGATCCCCAGCTCCAGCGGGCGGGTTAAAGGAGCTCCTTATCTTTCTTTTCTCTCATAGGCCAGGCAGGATGGGAGAACGGTCACCGTATCAGGCTTGGAGGCCAGAGGCCTGAGATCAAATCCCGGCTCCACTTACGAGGAGCGGAGCGGCGGCTCCATCTCCCGAGCAGCAGCCGGCCGTGCCCTGCCTCTCCTTCAGTCCTCACTACAACCTTGGGATAGGGTTTTCCAGATGGGGGCTCTAGGCTCAGATATAAGGTGTTGTAGGTCCCCATACATAAAATGGGGCCGCCCACACCTGCCCACCCACCTCCAGGGTGCTGGCAAGGATTCACAGAGCAGAGTGTTTGTGAATTGCAGCGCTGTGAGGAGGTGGGGACCAAAGATCAAGGATGGACTGGTCAAGGAGCCCCCTTGACAAGCCACCCCTCTCCCCACCCACCCTGGCCCTGGCCTTTTCTCCTGCTCCTCCAGGCCCCTTCCTCCAGGCTCAAGGAAGGCAACCGTGGGCAGGAAGGTGGAAGGAAAAGATGGAGGGGAGGAGGGAGCAGAGGAAGGGAAGAAGGAGGGAGGTTTCCTCTGATCCCACTATCCACCATCCCCATGGAAACCTGAGCCCTGAGCCCCAGGAGGCGGCCTCAAGCTGAATCACACGCCCCCTGCAGGTCTCCATCCCTGGCCTCTAGACCCGCAGACTCAGCAGCTTCCCTTCACTCAGCCACACGGGTGGGTGAGACGTTCCCGAGGTCTCATCCATATTAACCTTGGTGACTCTGTGTCATGAGTTTGGTCTCTTGAGACTGCCCTGACCTGGGATCTATCTTTATATTTGAGACGCCCCCTTTGCGTTAACCTTACCCCAGTCCAGGGCCCGGTCCTGCCTTCTGACCCAGTGGGCTCCTCGCTGCATTCTGCACATGCCGTTCTCCACACTCCCACCCTCCCTGAGCCGAGTTCGGACATGAACACGCCTTTTGTGTTCTGATGTTTGTTTCGTGGCCTTTCCCCTTGCCATGTGCAGTCACACCATCCTGTTATCCTCCTTCCACCCACCGCAGCCCTAGCCCTTTCTAACTTGCTGCTTCAACCCACTAGCAGGCTGAGTTAGAACTGTATGCAAAGTCAGAGTTAGGTGGTGAAGGGCTGAGGCTTTAGCTGAGCAAGGTCAAAACTAAGCCAGGCATTTGGCCGTCCAGAGGCCATTCTTGTCTTCCTGCTCCTGGCTCTCCTGAGTGAGGTAAGGATGCTGCTAGCTGAGTGACCTTGGGTCCTGGCCATGGTGCCCCGCGGGCCCCTCTATCCACAGAGAGCATCGGTGGTCCGAGGGTCCAGCCTCTCTCTGCCTTTTGAGTGCTGTGGCTCCCAGTGGTTCTCAGGACGCCTGTGGATGGGCTGCTCATTTCCCTCTGGCTCCCCTACAGGCCATTCTCCCCTGGGCAACCAAAACCAACATTTGAAAGGCAAATTTAGTCTTGTCACCCCTCCCCAGCTCAGAATCCTTTAATAGATTCCCCTGTCCCTTAGGGAAAGGGGCCAACATTCTCACCTGGGGCCTGAAGGCTCAGCAGAGCCTGCTCTTCCCTGTAGCCTATATCATCCAACCCCTACCCCGTACCCCATGTCTCCAACTCCCAGCTCTCTAGACTCCTGCCCCATTGGCTCCCTCAACAAAGTCTTCTCTGACCCCCCTGACCAGGCCAAACAGCCCTGATACTGGTCCTCTTAGTCCAGTGGTTCTCAACCTTCCTAATGCCGCGACCCTTTAATACAGCTCCTCATGTTGTGGTGACCCCCAACCATAAAATTATTTTCGTGGCTACTTCATAACTGTAA